TTTTTTTTTTTTTTTTTTTTTTTGTTTTCATGGGTTTGATTTTGATATTCTAGAAGTTCTTGATGGGGCCTCTTTTTGTTCCTTTATTTTTCTAACTTGGTGCAATTAATGTGCAGTGGTCTTGGCAAACTATTGTTTTAGGCTCCATTTTCCTACTCTTTCTTCTGGGAACGAGACATATAGTAAGTGGCTTTATGTTTTTCACAAATTTTATCATTACTGTAATTTTGTTTAGAAAATGAACATAAGTCACAAGAACAATAGTTCTGGTTCTAATTCGTTCTATCGTACACGACTACAGAGTATCAAGAAACCAAAGCTTTTCTGGATTTCAGCAGCTGCTCCACTGACATCAGTTATATTGTCCACTATTTTAGTCTTCCTTCTTAGAGACAAAGTTCCTGGAATCTCAGTGGTACGAACGGATACTTTTAAACTTCGAATTTGTACATTGAAACTGATATCATTTTCTGGAGGATGCTTCACTTAAACCACATATTGATTTTCTCTTTTGGTGTTCTTTTGATAGATTGGTCATTTGCCAAAGGGCATCAATCCACCATCTTTGAACATGCTGTACTTTACTGGTCCTCAATTGGCACTTGCCATAAAAACTGGCATTATAACTGGAATTCTCTCGCTGACTGTAAGTATTTGTTTTCACAAAGATGTTAATACAGATTATAGGCATGACTCGGTGGCTGAACAATCCTTTTCGTTTTGTTTTTTTTAATAACATTAGGAAGGAATTGCCGTAGGAAGGACGTTCGCTGGTTTGAAAAACTATCAAGTGGATGGGAATAAAGAAATGATGGCCATTGGTTTTATGAACATGGCTGGATCTTGTTCTTCCTGCTATGTCACAACAGGTGTTTGTTACCATCCTCTGCCGTACTGTCTCAAAGACGTTATTTGGTGTTGCAACTTAAAGAAATTAGTAATTAACTCTTTGGTTTGGGATCAATGTTTCAGGGTCATTTTCTCGATCGGCTGTGAATTATAATGCCGGGGCACAAACAGCAGTCTCAAATGTTGTGATGTCTGCAACCGTGCTCATAACGTTGTTGTTTCTGATGCCACTGTTCCATTATACTCCAAATTTCATCCTAGCAGCCATCATTATAACAGCAGTAATTGGGCTAATTGATTACCAAGCAGCCTGTAGGTTATGGAAAGTTGACAAGCTTGATTTCGTAGCTTGTGTTTGTTCTTTCTTCGGCGTTCTTTTCATCTCAGTTCCGTTGGGTCTTGCCATTGCAGTAAGTTTCCTGATTGCTATGGAATTAGTTAATTGAACTGTAACAGGTCATGCCATTAACACATTGGTATTTTCAGGTTGGAGTATCTATTTTCAAGATTCTTCTGCATGTCACGAGGCCGAACACCATGGTCTTGGGGAATATTTCTGGGACTCAAATATTCCAAAACATCGACCGATACCGAGAAGCCTCAAGGGTGCCTTCGTTCCTCATTCTTGCCATTGAATCTCCAATCTACTTTGCAAACTCGACATACCTACAAGAAAGGTGAGCTTGATATAATATAAATCTTCTATATATCTTGTGGATGAGTCTGCTGGAGCAATCATCTCACCAATAACATATCCATCCTGTCTTGTGTGCAGGATTCTAAGGTGGATTAGGGAAGACGAAGAGCGAATAAAAGCGACGAACGACAGTCCACTGAAATGTGTAATCCTAGACATGACAGGTACGTTGAGTAAACAATTTTACTCAGCTGGTAGAAAAGAAGCCTTTTTTAAGATTATCCCGCCCGTAAAGTCGCTCACACTTATCATATGTTTTTCTCAGCTGTAACATCCATAGACACAAGTGGTATAGAAGCAGTATGTGAAATTAGGAAGATCTTGATGCAAAAATCACTACAGGTAAGATCAGATCCATGTGGCTACAACTGCTTGTACAACAAAAACGTTTTCCATGAAATTTTTCACTGATCGACATTTCTGTATTTGTTTCGTTTTGTATAGTTTGTTCTTGCAAATCCAGTTGCAAACGTGATGGAAAAACTGTATAAATCAAAGGCCTTGGAGCAATTCGAGTTCAACGGTCTCTACCTCTCAGTCGGAGAAGCTGTGATGGACATTTCTTCTTTGTGGAAGAGGCAGCCATAACTTATCTTCAAGGTTTAGCATAGAGGAAAGAGTGTGAAAGAAATAGATAGATAACTGGTCGATAAGGAGAGTTTTTCCTTTTCCTCTTAGGGATATGAAAACACATTCCATTCCATCATTTAGCTAGCAATTAGAAGAGGCAATGAAATGTTTTCAGCCCTTTGCTCTTATCTTGACAATGAGGCTACCATCCACCAATTACCTTCAAGCAATCTCAGAGTTGTTTAGTTTAGTGTCAAACGTTTAGAGCAAAAGCTTAACAAAATTTTGTACTTTCATTATTACATCATTTACAAATTCTCACAGGAAACCAGTGCAGAACTACAATTTAGTGCTTCTAAGTTCATAAAAAAACTCAAAAAGTGGATGAACTTTACCCTTTAGGAAAAGGCATCTTATACCAAGCTTGAAGCATTAGCCTCATTGAAAAAACAAACAAAATTAAGGTTATGCTGATTCCAAACTGCATTACAGTATTCAAAAGTTAGACCACCACCAAAAGGGACCCTTCAGTATTTTAATGATCTTAATCGAATATTTGAGCATTTAACAGCTCGTTCGGCCACGCAACTTTATAAGATTGTGATTCAATAGCTAATAAAAACATATTTGAACTTGTGAAGATTGCATCGTTCTTTTTAATTGTGTGTGCAATCTGATTGTGGAAGAAGTGGACACTTTCAATTATTGCCTACAAATCTTTATAAGATGCTTTGAAGCGTAAGAAGAACGCTTAAAGCAGTACCAAAAATAAAGAAACAGAGACCATATAATGGTGACAATGAAGGGCTTTTATGAAGAGGAAAGCAAGAGTATCAAAGCAATAATAGAAAACAAAAGCAATCCAACAGAATTCTCCTTTAGTTTCCATATTAAATTCTGATTATCATCATCATGGCTTTTCACTGTCATTGAAACTTCAGAAGAGCAAGAAAGAAAGAGAATAAAGAAGTTTCCTTTCCAAACTAAGCTGTAAACTCATCCGTGTGAGGAGTTAAAAAGAGAAAAGAACAAATGAATCGAGCTCATATGCCTATATGAAAGTGAGCTCTTTCCCCCAAGAACTTCATGGAACTCATGTAAACCCTCCAATCATTTGAAACACTAGTTTATAATAATCCAGTGCACCAATAATGCCAGTTTTTCCAATATCTCAAAGAGATTCTTCTTCCTTGATACTAATTTGATCTGGCTAGGCAGATTTAATAAGATAGGCCACTGAAATTCACACACATCAACAGGTGGTTCTTGCAATTTGAACTTCCCTAAAAGCTCAAACATCTGCACCAAAATATGCTCAATGTTATATGCTACAACTAAATCTGCTTCTCAGTGAGAGGGACCAAAACTTATGACCACTCAGATGTGATCCAACCCTTTTATGTACATATCAGAACATGTTAAACTCAATTGAAAATCCAAGCATAAAATTTGTGTAGTAGCAAGTATGTTTTGTTTTGGCAGTCTATGTTAGTTGTTACTACTATAAATTATGAATGTCAAAGAAGATTCTTTTGTTCATTTCATTGAGGAAAGAAGCCTTACTCGAACGCAATCGTGTTATGGGAATCTCTCGCAGTTCACGTTTGATACACAGATATTCACCCAGCAAAGACATCACTACAAGCCCTGTACCATTCACAACCCACCATGTCATCGACGAAGGCCACCCTCCATAAGCGATACAGATGAAAAGGTGGAGTATATAGAGTGTGGCCGCAAAATCTAAGCACTTCTTTGCTCTTTCAATCAAATAAACCAAAAATCCTGCCCTGCATTACAATAAAATAGTAATGGTGAGAGAAGCTGACAACATAAACAATATGAAGATGAAGAAAAATATTCAAAACCGACTACTTTAACGCATTTGATAAGCTTAATTTTCAAAGAAATTCATGGGTGGAAGTAGGGGTTATAAGCTTAATTTTCAAAACTCTCCAACCAATTCCCCGGTTGGAAGAGAGTGTTATTCTCATCAGGAAAACGTAACAATACTATAGAGGTGTCGTTTAGGGTAACATTCAGCCGAATCAAGATCAATTAGTCGATACCATTCCAAAACTACGTTACTATTCCCAACCCCGAGCCCAATTGAAAACACCATTTAGGAAAAGCTTCCATTCTGTAGAGTTTCATATATTTAAATGTTTACCATGTGAATTTCTGCGATGGCAACAGACAAAAACATTGAAATTCACATCAATTGCAGAAGGAACCACAAATAGATACAGCAAACCATTAAGAAGAACAAACTTCGACATCAAAAAGTTACAGCAACTACAGGTTACAACAAAAATGGCCTCATTACATAATTAGAGATAAGAACAAAATCATTAATATTGACATTCAAACAAACCATTTCATGGTTAACAATAAAAACAACATCAGCGAGGTTGATTAATCTATTTAATTCCAAATGATCTAACAATGGTTCGATAGGATGCAACTTCTCCAAACTATTGTCAAATATTCCTAACAATCCAATGCATAGTGATTCAAACAACATATGGAATGAGGAGATTCAAATGAACATGGTGGAGAGATTCTTGGTCAAGAGTGTATGCATCAACTAGTCTGTGGTTATATACATAATACCGAATATGGAGGAGAAAAAAAGTAAAACAGAGTTCTTACCCAGCAAGCGCAGTTAGCAGGAATGAAGCAATAACACACAAACCAGTGGCCGTAGAGACAGTTAGTGTAGCATAATCAAAGAAGTAAACAAGGCTGATTCGAGAAACACGAGTCCCAACTAGAGTCGCCAGCAGAATGCCAAGAGTCAGGTAATACAAACATTGAAGGCAAACAATTTGGGCAACAATTAGCCATGGATCCCATACCAATGCACCATAGAACATGACTTCACCACTCACTCGGTCCTAACTTCAACAGAACCCAACTTCTTTCAGTATAAACCAAATATAAATTACGAACTCGTGGAGTGAAGAACAGTCGATTTCCCAACAATAAAGGACTTATTATCTATCCATTTCACGCTCTCAAATTGACAATAAAATCCAACATATGCCCATTTCTCTTCGTGAATTTGTCGTCCCTTCGGAATAGAACTCCCTAAAATCTTCGTAACGATGATTTTACGATCTCGTTTCATTCGATCTGAAACAAACAAATCGTACATCCACCCATACTAAAAGCCAAACAATATGTATCTAGAGTAACATTCAAAATCAAAGAGAGAAGTGAATCCCAATTCCCTAAAAAATTCAACCCTAGATATCAAATAAATTCCAATTCCCTACAGAATCCAACCCTAGAAATCAAATAAATCCCAAATTCGCTAATACAACGAACGCACCGCAATGCGAATAAGAATAAGATCAAACATGAAACATGTAAAACCGTCAATCTTAAGATCGAGAAGAGACAAAATTTAGGCTTCCGAGCAAATTTCGTTCCCCTTTTTTCTTCTGAAATTTTAGGTCGTGTTGTTCTGCTCCGGAGAATTTCGTTTGTGGAGATGCGCTACAGTTGTAAACTCGTGTAAAATCCAAGCTTTCATTACTTCCAGAAAGCAAATGTTACTACGTTCATAATTAGTCTTAATTACTGCACTGGGCCCCACATTTCATTCTCTTTTTAATTAAATTACAAATTTAACCTGTAAAATTCAAATTCATATGTAATTTATTAATTATTTTTTAGGAATTAAAAAATTAACTTGTTACTGACCAAAAACATAAATTTAGAATAGTTCGAGTACACCGTTAGCAAATATTATCCGGTTTCGCCTGTATATATCGTCTTTAGCCTCATGGTTTTAAACTGCATTTGGTAGAGAGATGTTACAGGCCAACGTGGACAATATGTGCTTGTGACGGACTTGAGCTGTTACAAATGGTTACAATGGTAACAAAGCCAGACACAAGACATGTGTCAACAAGGATGCTCGCGCTCAAGGGAGGTGGATTGTTGAAGAGGGAAACAAATCATTCCTTATAAACGTGTGAAAATTTCTACCTAAACATATGTGTTTTAAAACCGTGAGGCTAACAACGATATGTTACGAGCCAAAACAAAAAATATCGGCTAGCGGTAACTTAGGCAGGCAACCAATTGAGTATGTTCTCGAGAAATAAGGAGCTAAAATTGCAAATAAACTCTCCAACTTCTCTCACAAAGAATCATAAACATTTGGCTATAAGAAGAAAAGAAAAAACAAAGTTAGATTCATATTATTGAAGACGAACCACAAACCTTTCGACCTTTTGTTTTCCTATCCCTACTAACCCGACCCCATTTTCCTGCTCCAACGAACGAAATGATTTTTATACCCTTTTTGGTATCTCCATACTGCGGTTTTTTCGAAGTTCAATGTCATTTTCGTAATATCAGACTAATTTTGTGGATCCACGTGGATATTTAACAACATGAACATTTGGCATTGCACTTTAACCACAACAATATCAAGCCACGTAGGACGAGGTCGGTCTAGTCAGCAACCAGCTTGTGTTATGCTGCCATGTCACTGCCTCCATCTCCTCGGAAGTTAGAAAGAGTATATCGTTGAAAAAATAAAAATATTAAAGGGCCTGCAAGGAGCCACGGCCCAATAACAACCATCGAATAACTACAGCCCAATAAAATTCCAAATCGGCCCATTAACCACCACTTAAGGCCCAAATTAAGAGGCCCAAAAAACGCAGTAGTAAATTTCTACGTACGTTAGCAGCAACCAGATGATATCCCGTGTCTTACTCCCTCGTCTGTTCTCTTGTTTGCTTCGAAAGCCTTGTTTCATCCATCTTTCTTCAAATCCATTCGTACTCCAGCTTTAAGAACAACAACAAACTTCAGCTTAATCGCGCAGCTGCATAAATCTTGGATTTCTCACCTCTTTGCTTGAGGTAAGAGCTTGTGGCCTCTGGTATTCTCGAAATCTTGGTTCATCTTTGAAATTAGGGCTTTTAGAGAACCACAAAGTTTTATGTTGTATGTTGTTTCAATCTTCCGTTCGAATGGGCATTATAGAGCTATGTTCGCACGATCTTGTCCTGCTGTCGAGAAGGTAGAGTAGTTAGCTATTGATTTCTCCGCTCTCTTCTCGTCGATGAATTGAGGTTTCTCGCATCTCGAATCTTTTTCGGATCTTGGACGAGATATAGGGATTTGAGGGAGGGTTTTTGTTGAGTGTTGATCCAAGACGGGTTTATTAAGAGTGAAGGAGTAGGATTATTGTGAGATCGATTGGTAAGAAGTGTTTAATCTTGTTCTGGAAAGTAAAGTTGTTTTTACTCTAATCGCACTCTGGGATTGTCTGCTGTTGTTTGATCTCAAATGGACGACGACAACGGAGAAGAGAGGTATCCTTTATCCAAACGTTACAGTGGAAACCATCGGGAAAGTTATAGTTCTGTACCTCGTTCAAAGGTTCCTCTCCGAGATGCTCCTTATTCAAGGCCAGTCAGCAATCGTTATGTGGAAGATGATGTCGAAGATGACGATGAAGAGGATGAAGGACAGGGGGAGGAGGATGATGAGAATGATCAGAACAATGGTTTTGCTCACACAAGCGATGAAGTAGATGATGGTGATGACGAGGATGATTATGATATGGATGAAGACGACAAGCAGAACAGTACTATCAAACGAGATGATGCTGATTTGGAAAGACACCCCAAGAAGCGGCGTTTGAAGAGCTTGGCATCAAGTTATGAACTTGCTCCTCATGTTCCGGCTCCATCATCTGCTACTCCTGCTCAAAAATTATTTGTTGGGGGCAGGAATTCATTGATGGATTGGAATGAACATGAAACAGTTGTTCTTCTAGACGCGTGGGGCGAACGGTTTCTTCAACACGGGAGGAAAAGTCTCCGATCTGAGGAATGGCAAGAGGTTGCTGAGAAGGTATCAGAGGTCTCTAAGATAGAGAGGACGGACACACAATGCCGAAACCGCCTTGATACGTTGAAGAAAAAGTATAAAAAGGAAAAATCGAAGTCGACAGAATTAGGTGGTTCTACCAGCAAATGGGTTTACTTTAAGAAGTTGGACATGTTAATGTCTTCACCCCCAAACCAAGGAGGCCTATCGTGTGGCTTAGACTCGGGGGAGTATGTGTTCATGAACCCTAGAGCTTATCTAAACCGTGCAAACGGGTTCGATGAGATGAGAGATAGCCCCGAAAATTCGGAATCTGATGATGGTGAGGATGACGAACTCGAGGGACTTCCACCGAAGAAAAGGATGTATGGGAGGAACCGTTGCGATGGGACTTCATTCAGGATGCTAGCTAACTCCATTCACAAGTTCAGTGAGATTTATGAGAAAATAGAGAGCAGCAAAAGACATCAAATGATGGAGTTAGAGAAGATGAGGATGGATTTCTTGAGAGATTTAGAGTTGCAGAAAAGGCATATTATGGAGAGAGCACAGGCTGAGATTGCGAAACTTAGGCAGGGCGACGATGACGACAGGGACTATGGTGCCCCTGCCAAGAGTACCAATGGATAATGTAATCTTACTATTTCTTACATATGCTGTTTGTATAATAGATGGGAGGCCCCTTCCCCTGTTGATTTCTCAATATATTCGATGGAACCTTTCTTACATTTGACAACACAATGACACAGTTCTGCATTTCATGTTTCAATTCGCTGATTGGCCAGAAGAAAATGGGTACACAAAACGGTCGAGGATACCAATTACAATGGAGTTGGGCAGGAAGCTGGCATATTCAGATCAAAGAAAATGAGCAAAAATGATCTATTTAATGATTCTTTTTGGAGTTCAAAATAGTATAGAGAATCGCCGTAAATGCAGAAAAGACGAGTATGAGCCTCGGCAACGAGAGGCCATTAATAACACTAACATTTCTCCGAAAATTTTCCTCTTAAAAGAACGGATTGCTGAAAAAGACTCGCTCCAGCAAGAAAACAAAGCCCTAGCAAAAACAACCAAATACAAAACGCTTCACAAGTGATTCCACAAGTCAAATACAAGCCAGCCTTCCACCCACCATCATTCATCAGCTCACCAAGTTTCAATATTTTTTTTTGTTTGGCTCGATAGTAGTTCGTCATAAATAACAAAGGCAAGCATTCGACTAGATTAAGCAGCAGCACTCGAAGGTTCTGGTTTTTCCGTGTCCATTGGCTCTGTAGAAGCTGAGGACACCTCAGTTTCACCAGCTCCCTTCCGGTTCGGACTTGCGCCAGCATTAGAAGTTGCACTGGCATCCCCTCCTTGCTGCTCACTGCCCTGAGGAGCTGGTGGAGGTGTCTCAGGCGCAGCTGGCTTGGGTTTCGTCATTATTGGTCTGCAAAACCTGCATGAATGCAACAAATACATACTCCAGGCATCAGAAAACAATCAGTTGATCAACCAAACATTATTTCCATTGAAAAAGTACGAACTGTAATGAATGCTGAAGTTAAAAGTGAGCAAGCACACAAGATAAAGGAATCTAATACGATGTGGAAGTATTCCAATTTGAGACTTCCAGAGAAAAAAATAACCTCAAGAATCCTAGATCAAATGAATGGACCAAGGGTTTGAATTTGAGATTGCTTTATAATAAACGACTTTTATGTGAAAGCACCTCCTTGAGCACCTTTAGTCGAAACAGGGCTCAACACTAATTAGTGATTTATTTAAAGTAATTAGAAAGGATGGGTAACCTGTCAAGTGCTTCAGCTTTCTTTCTCACATCAGCAGAATAGAGGACTGGTGTAGAATGTTTGGGTAGAGAGTCCTGGTGCTGCTTTTTCTCTCTTAACCAGGCCTCAGCTTCCACACACTCATTCAAGACCTGCAGAATATTTTGACAAAGGGGTAACGTTACACAGCCACCCGAACATAAATCATGAAGAGACAGAAACAAGTAATACCTTCTGTTTTTCAGAAATGTCGATGTGGTCAAATTTAGGATCAGCTGACATTGCTGCTTCCCTGTAACTGTTGATGCAGTAAGCAAGTTGATCAATCACAGTTCCTCTCTCCGTGTACTCCTTGAAACGCTCCTCTATTGGGTTACCTTGCTGCAAATTATGTCCAACGTCAGAATGCAGCCAAAGACCACAAACAAAAAAAAGGACTAATTCTTGTAATCAATATATCATCATTTTCTTCCTGGCTGAAAACTTGAAACATATCACTTACCTTCTTCAACTCCTCAAGCTTAGCTATGTAGACTCCCTTCGTTTCATCCTCTCCATCCTCATAAAGCCAATCTTCAACCTCCTGAAGTTTGGCAGAAAGCTCCTCTCTCTGTGAATCAGTGACGAACTCCTGGTATTTATCATGCAGCTGGGGACACAAAAAGCATTCATCCGTTAAATTTCAATTCACACTCGAGAGAGCTTGTCATAAAAATATGGAAGTTGTAGCTTGCCTTGTTTCTCATTTCATATACATATGCCTCGACAGCATTTTTCTTCTCTTTGGTTTCCTCCATAACCCGATCCTGTAAAGCCATTTCAAACTCCTTTTCCACTGCCTTCTGTACATCAGCTGATGCCAATCCACCATAAACCAATTCTACCACGGGGATATTGGTTTTCTTAACCTTCTTCTTTGGTGCTTCGACCTAAATGCCAAGAGGTTAGCCATGTACAACACAAAAACCACCTAACCCACAAAATGCCATCGTCTACTTGATGCTCAAATAATGGAACACCGATATGGCTAGTGAACCAACAAGCAAAGGTAATCCAACTCAAAAGGACTCTGAGAGCTTTTAACTACTTAAAAAAATCATTATGTAAAATATACGTAATTTAAGAACATAATAATAAGTTTGGGAAATTTATATATTTTCAAAAAACTATTCAACTTATTATTCAACACAATGAAATCTGAAACCTGTACGGGATGGATTCATCATTTCCTCTAATTATGAGGAAAGAAGAAAAAGTGAAAAGGATTAGTGAAATTGTTGTTGGAATCACCAAATTTTACTCAAGTTCTGAAATATTACTTATAAACATTTCATTTAATAAAAATAAAAATGGAATTTAGGTGTCAAGAGAAACCAAAAGAAAATCAGAAACATGACGAAGGAAATAGAACGAGAAGAGGGGGCAAAAAAAAAAGGATAAAGAGAGGAGGGCATATAATAAAACAAACTAGAAAAGGAACAGAGTTTAGTAAAACTACTGCAGAAAGTACGTATAAACAAACAGCATATCTATTACTACACTTAATATCTATATTGGCAGTGACAAAATAAAGCTGTGGAGGAGATGGAACTCCCCGCTACTTACCTTGGCATCCGTCTCCATCTGGGCAGATTGGTCTCCTAACTCAGCACCACCATTCTCAGCTCCAGCATCTGTGCTTCCCTTGGCATCTTGCATGTTAACATCGTTCTCGTTAGAACTGGGAGGGGCATCAGATGAAGCATCATCAGTCTCCATTTTAGCTGACTGATCTCTGGTAACTGGAACCTCTACTTCCTCCTCCTCTAACAGCTAAACATACAGAGATTCCCCCTTCAGAGAAGATTAAAGACAAACATAGACCAACAGTACAACAAACAAAGACCTATAGAAGACTTACTGTGGCTGATTCAACAGAAACAATTCCGTGCAAATTAAGTCGAACCTTCACCTTCACCTTTGCCCTTCCACCTTTTGAAGATTGAAAAGGACCAATCTGGATATGCACATTACCCACAACTTAATCTCAATGATTACAAGATAGCAAATGCTCAAGCTACTCAATTTGAATGTTAACCCTCACCGTGTAGGTACTGATCTTCGCTTGCTGATCACAATCAGTATAATGTACATCAACACTAAATGTGCCGGACCTATAAAATGTAAGAGCCTTGACACTGGGTATGGGATTCCCCTTGGGGAAAACAACAGTGCTCTGCTGATTGTCCACTGCTCCATTTTGAGGATCTGAAGCAGCACCCTTCCACGAGAGAGCTATAGAAAATGGAAAGTTCTCGTTTACCTTCAAAAGAGCAAACCAATAAATCAGAGGGAAAATGCAAAAAACAGGCATCCGGCCAAGGGTTTTTCACTCACTTCACACAGTACGCATATAACAAATTCAGCAGAAAAACAGAGATAATTTACTCAAAAATCAATTGCTAACAAATCATAATCCTCGGCACATCTTTGTACTTTCATGTTACATAAAAGTATATAAAAAAAAGGTTCGTAGAAACCATGTTAGTTGGAGGAGAACTGCAAGGGAAAAGTTTGAGATTAGTCGCTCTTACCTGAAATTCTCGCACTTTGAATGTGGGACTGAGGATAGCACACTGAAGGGCACAACCTCTAGCAACACACTCGCTTGCATTCATAGTACGCCTAGGCTCCTTCTTGAAGAACTCGGTCAATATTTTTATTACAGCTGGGACACGAGAACCTGAACCAACAACTTCAACAATGTGGACATTATCAACGGTAAGACCAGCTTCTGCAAGTGCTTGCTCCAAAGGTCCTTTCACACGTTCTAATATTGGAATACTTATTTGTTCGAATTCTTCCCGTTTAATGATTCCCCTCACATCTTTCTCATCCATCAAACATTCTATGTTTAAAGGTGCGACAGGATTTGCACTAAGAACTTTCTTAAGCTTCTCACAAGCAGTGCGGAGCCTTAGACAAGCCCTTGCATTCTGATAAACATCTATTTTGTACTCGCCTTTGAACTTTTCTGCAAAGTGATGAAATAATACCTCATCAAAGTCTCTGCCACCAAGGGACTGATCAGATGAATGGGCCAACACTTTCAACTGACCCTTCTTAAAGCCAGCAATGCACACTTGCATGCTTGCATGTCCAATATCAACAAATGCCACGTTCAACTGATCATTTTCAGGCAAATCAGTTTTATATATACCATAAGCCAAGGCTGTTGCAGTAGTTTCATGCATCAAGCGAAGGGGATGCAACCCTGCAATTGTAGCTGCATCTAATACAGCTCTTCTCTGAAGATCAGTGAAATAAACCGGGATTCCTATGCAGCAATCAACCACCGCGGCATTAAGATTTTTCTCCGCAATGCCTTTCAGATTTGAAAATAGCATACCCAACACCTGGGTTGGCGTAAAAGTTTTTACCTCACCCAGGTAACGGACATGAACTAAAGGAAAGCCATCAGGCCCCTCGGTTACAGAAAACGGCAATGACTGAATATCCTTTTGCAAGCTTGGTTCAGAGAATTTACGGCCAATCAATCTCTTAATCTGAGAGATCGAATTCTTGATGTTCATCATAATTGACGCTGCACCAGCTGTCCCAATAAATCGCTGCTTGTCACCAAAGCTGACAATAGCCGGAGTTTCCCGCTTGGATTCATCATTGAGAACAACATCAATACCTCGCTGCCTTGCAACAGCTACAATGCAGCTCTCGTTACCAAAATCAAAACCAACAACGCTCATCTTGAAAGAGATTGAACCGATATGTCAAAAACAATCGGCCTGTCAAAAAAATGGAAGAACCTGAAATATTAATGAATGTTGTTATTATCAATAGGAAAAAGATATGCAATCGAATTTCCTTTAGAAGAACCGCATCAGTGATTATTGTAACGAGTATAGTTCGCGGGAACTACTGTAGTAGCAATCAGTATGCCAACTTGCGTATTTGATCGAAAAAAATCGTTCAAATAAAATTCAAACAGAGAAACGAAAGAAGAAACGAAAGAAGAACCGAAATAAACACAGCCACAAGTCCAACAAAAACAATCCGTTGATTTCACTTCGTCAAACTCGAGGCGATAGGTATCCAAATCCGTACAATAACACTCTCCATATACTTATTGCCATATCAGTGTGTTAAAACATTTCAAGAAACAGATCAAACATGGAAACCACAAAACACATTAAATACATGAAATAATCAACAAAATGTTCCATAACAAACTAGGTCGAAATGCTTTAACCAGTAATTAAAGCTAAGAACAAAAAGAAAAAGTGAAGCAATAGATTCATTCCTAGAAACGGCAATACGAGCAGAATTGATAGAAATGTAAAATCAAAACACTCCGAATCTGAAGAAAACAAATCTAGTAAGAGACAAAGAAGTTGGAAATGGCCGCATCGAGGAAGCAAAACGCTCAGATCTACAGCTGAAGAACAAGAAAACGAGAATCAATACAACAGCGGCGTATGGAAACAAACCTTCAGAGCGATCCGAACAGCAAGAGCGATGGAAAGGACGAGAGATTTAATTCTTGGGTTCTGGAACTCTCCACAAGACCGCGCTTATAAAAGAAAAGGGCTACGTACCACTTTCGAGGGCTTTCTGTGGAATTTTCAAGTTTTATAAATAACAAATTAATATTATTTATTTATATATATATATATATTGTTCTGTTTCTTTAATTTTGATTTTATTTTCCGATTCGAGGGGCAGCCTTTAGAACTGGAGACGTCGTGACTCGTGGTCCCTAGAGTCGTCTAGATAGATACTGAAGTTCTAGAAAGATCTATACGCACTCTGCATTTTCATTTTCCACGTTTGTTCAACGCTGGACTGGGCCTTCTGGCCCGCCCTCCCTTCTTCAAAACATTTTGGGCCCGACCCTCTGCAAAGGCCCAATATTCTTTTATTTCTCTTTTTATTATTTAAACTTAAATAAGTCAAGGACTATTTTGTGGCTTTTTTTTTTTTTAATTAATTTAAAATTAATCTTATAAGACTACCTCTTTTTTTTTTTTAAGTAAAAAGTAATGGAAATAAGTTCGTTATTCTTATGAGAACAGTATTCCTCGTTTATAAATCCAATGATCTTCTACTAAATTAACAGGGACTCACCCTCAATAATCCTCAACAAAAGGCCTTCCCAATCCTTTTTTCTCTTTCAATTCTATCAATTTATAGTTTATTTTAGTTCAAGCTTTTTCTCGATTTTTTTTATTTATAATTTTTTTCAAAAAAATATTAATATCAAAGATAAATTTTTTTCAATTTTTGTATGGTTGTAGTAATCTAATAATATTTTATAAATGAAGTATAATATAATTTTAACTAGAATGTTAAAATCTCAAATTTTAATATTAAAATCTAGTTTTCTACCGTTCAAAATTTTTATTATATATATATATATAGAGGTCGAATACAATCCTATAATCTCGTCTCCAGTCCCATATAATAACTAGAGAAATCTCCCATTGGGACCCTCCCCATTTCCCATTTAAACTGAAATTTAGCAAAGTAGAAGACAATAGTATAATCTCATCCCAAATAGTAACGGGAGAAATCTCTTTTCTAGACCCTTCTCACTCACAGTTTAACCTGAAATTTAGCAAGGTCGAAAATGATATAATATAATAATTTCTTTTCTAGACCCTTCTCATTCACTGTTTAAACTGAAATTTAGCAAGGCCGAAAATGATATAATATAATAATCTCTTTTCTAGACCCTTCTCATTTACTGTTTAAACTGAAATTAGCAAGGTCTTTTAATATAATCTTGTCCCAAACTCCATATAGTAGCGAGAGAAATCTCTCATCAAGGCCCTCTTCGTTCCCAATTTAAACTGAAAGACAATAATATAATCTCGTCCGAAGCCACGTACAGTAACAAGACCCTCATCATTCTTGATTTAAAATTGAATTTTATGAGAGTCGAACAAAATAATATAATCTATGGAAAAATCTTCTCTCACTGACACACTCAGCTCCCAATTTAAACAGAAATTATGTACTAAATTCCAAGTGGGTTCGATGGGCCCAAATATGTAAGAAGTTCAATCAACATCTCTCCTTGTCTTGTTATAAACACACTCTCAGCCATTTTCCTTCCAAATTTGTAGGTCTAAAGTTTTGATTATAAATTTCAGAAGGTAAATTTAGATCGGAGTTTATTTGAATTTCTGCACATTAATGTAACATTTGAGATTAATGTAACATTGGAGATTAATGTAACAGAATTTACCCAAAAAAAAAAAAAAAAAAAAAAAAAAAAAAAAA